TGGTCATCTGAGCACTGCTGCCATCCCACTCCTTCCTTCCCGCTGTGTATTCAGTTTATCCAAGTTGGTTGCATTGACAAGGCCTAAGCCGTTGTTGAAATTGCACGGGGCGTGGGCAGGGGGCATTTCATGGGTGAACAGTTCAATGTGAGTGAGTGAAAAGGAGAAGGATTGATGGAATTAGCAGCAGGCTGGCGCGGAGAGAAATGCGAGGGGCAAGGAGGTCCTCCAAATTGCATGAGGAAGGAACTGCAGGATTCTGTGAAGTTGACGTTGTTCGAAACTGCAATAGTTGCGTTACCAATTTTTTTTTACGCTAATGAGCACGATGATTCAGTCTTCCAGATTAAATGTAGAAAAGAAAATTGCAAGCCTTAAATGATGCCGCTACCTTACTGTGCTTTAAAGCAAAATAAAGAAAATACTACCGGCGATAAAACTAGGGATTGACAAAATAAATTTCCTTCCCAAAATTTTCCATGAAGTTGGGAGCCAGGATTAGACTGCATATCCTGTTGCTGGCAGCAGGAGCCATTGCAAGTCAACCATATTAGGACTGTGACCCGCAGACCAGTTAAGCTGGCATGCTGGGATGTAAGCTTTATTTTCACCCTGAACCTATTTATTTAGAGGGAGAAAAACAATCCATTAGTTTGAACTTCCTTCTCTTGAATCACATGATCAAGATTACCTGCGTTGTTACATTCCTTCATTTGCATTTAAAGATACAGACACAGAGTTGGATTTAAATTGTGCCTCTCGGTCACGTCGCTGCCATCAGGCTCTGCAGAATGGCTCTCACAGATACATTTCATGAGTTTTCCGAGGTCTGTGTGTCATGCTCTATATTCGACCTTTCCAGCTTGATGGAAGCACACATCTTTGGATGGTTTCACCAATTCTGTAGCTTCCTTTTTTAAAATGTTGGGAAGTAACATGGGGCTCGTCCCTCAGTTCCATTGGCCGTGAGTTCAGTTCTCATACATTGACTTCCCATCTCTCCTGTAAGAACGGAGCCTTTGGAAGTGGGCAATGGAACTGTAGGTGTGCGAACCTTCAGAACTGAAAACGGAACAGAACCAACTTCTGTAGGATGGGCTCTGCTGGGTTTTACCTGTAGTCTGCAGCAGACTGTTCACCAGCTTAGACCCAAGTATTCTTGTTCAGATTGACTTGTGGGTCAAGCATAAGCATTCTGCCGCAGTAGCTGGGCATTGTGCAGAAAGCTCTGGATCAGTTTCCCAAATTTGGATCTCTCCAGCTGCTGTTGGACTACAAATCCCATCATGCCTAGTTAGCAGGACCGGTGGTCAAGGATGATGGGAATTGTAGTCCAAAAACAGCTAGAGTCCCAAGTTTTGGAAACGATGCTCTGGATGGTATCCAACTAAGTCACACTCAAATGAGAACCGCTGAAATCGGTGGACTTCAGTTAGTCATGGTTAACTTCAGTCCCACTAATTTCAGTGCGCCTTAAGAGTAGAACTAGTTGGGTACCAGACTTGCCCCTTAGTCTTCTGGGGTAAGAGGGAAGTGAAGTGTTTCTGGAGCCCCTGCTGTTTTCCTTCCCTGGGCCTCTTTTTCGTCTTCTTTTTCTTCACACTGCTAACCTCTCCTGCCCTCAGTGAGGCTCCGTACCTCAAGTGATCTTGCACAGCCGCACCCCGGTATTCAGTTTGGCAATTGGAAGGACAAAACCCAACACCAATTATCTTTTTAATGTCTGCTGCTTCTTAGCACTTCGACTCAGACTGCACAGGAAGAGGGTAGAAATCATTCTGAGCTGAAAATAGTAAATATATAATAAGAAGCAAGGGGAAAGGTGTTGAGGTATAGATAAGGTTTTGTTGTCATTGAGGATTTTTTTTTAAAAAATGTTTTGAAACCATTCCTCCACATTAGTAGAAAATCAGTACCAATGATTCTTTTTACAAAATCCCTCTGTTAAATGAGTCTTTTCATCAAAGCCAATTTAATGCATCCCTTAATTTTTAATTGCTATTATATTATTATTATATTATAATTATTATTTGGGGGTATTTTTGTTCTTGGGCTGGTTTTTTAAAATATATATATATATATATAAATTTGCAGCTCTCCACATTAAACTGCGCAATACTGTGGGGGAGAAGCCATTAACTAAACCAGGACTGTCAAAAACTGCTCCCATCCCACCCCAGACTGTGTGGGTCATTCCACGGACATGCCAAGTCTCTTCGCAGGCCAATTCACATGGTTTCTGTCTTTTGGGGGTGGGTGGGCGCAGGTTTGACAGACGTGAACTAAACTCTATGCTGCAGGAATAATGTGGCAAATATTTTCCCAGCACCCTGCCGGGACATCTGCTAGCAATAATCACTATTGATTTAAAGCTTTATTTAGCCTTTATCTATATCCTAGTAGATTATAAAATCTTGCCACATTTTATTGATGTTTTTATTAGTCGTGTTTGATGGAGGAAGAAAACCCCTCTGTTCTTGTTTCCCTCCCCCTTTTGTTGATTGCCTCCCCCTCCATCCTCCTCACATTCACAACCCCCCCTATATTAAACTGTGAAATTTATAACGTGTTTAAACTATGGGTGAATCTTAGGCTTAGTTTTGCATGTTCAGCTAATTCGTCTCTACATCTTTCTTTCTTTCTTTTTTTTTTTTATTCCCTCCCCACCTCCTCTTCTCTCAGGGCTTTTTAAAACAACATGTCCCCTCCACCCCTTTCTGAAATTCTCTTGTTGGATTTGCAATGGAGCAAATTCTGAAAATTCAAATCACTACAATAAGCACCTGACTGTGAAAGCAATACATACGGAAGAACGGAAACAAGGTTTAAAAGAGGCAGTTGATGTTTGCAGCTGTAATGGCATAGCTCAGGCTTTCCCTTGTCTGGCAACCTCAAGATTCTTTGGACGGCAGCCTCCACCTGCCCCAGCCAGCATGACCAATGGTCAGGGCTGGTGGAAAGTCTAGTCCAAAACCTCTGGAGGGCACCAGATTGGGGAAGGCTGACAAAGTTCATCTGGAGCTAGCTCTTCTGCTGATATAATTCCAGCTTCGCAATGATTTATAAGAGTCTTTTATCTTCTAGCACCCAAACCCCCAATTCTCCCATCACCCTAGAGCAGACACTGGAGTTACCTCCATGTCCCATGATGAGTCTCTGTGTTGCTACCCCCTGTGTTGGTTGGATCATGAAACTGTGGTGAGATGATTTGTGAGGACAGAGCAGGACACTTGGAGTAGATCCACTAGTGCAGCGTGGGGAACCTGCAGCCCTCCCAGGTGCGTTTGGGCTGCATCTCCCATTCTACCTGGCAGTTGGCCATGCTGAGTGGTGCTGATGCGAGCTGGAATCCAGGAAGATTTTGAGGGGGCGTCAGGTTCGTCATCCTTGTTCTAGCCCCTCGAAGCGATTAAGGGTAAAGGTCCTGGAAAGGAAATAAGGTCTATACACTGAGGTGTTGTGGTAAATCCTTGCCTTGTTTCTTTTAGCATCATAATAGTTTTGAGGAGCCAACGTATCCATTGCAGGTTCTCCCCCTTGCACTGTCCCTGGGCTGGTTGAGTCAAGTTTCACTAGAGATAAGAGGATGGGGCGTGGGCTGTCTTTTTTGTCCCTCCCCCCTTGTCCCCTCGAGAAGGAAGTTCAATCCTTAAACTTTCAGCCTGTGCAAGGAAACAACAATTAGTGTGTAGAATCCACATGCAGATAAATATAATATTATTTTTTTTCTAAAGGGAACTTCTTAAAAAAAACTGCTGCTACAAGTTATGTACAAGACTGGTTTATGCCACATGAACAGAGAATCACGCGTTTTGTTTGGTTGTTTCTATTCCTCTTCTCATTCAGTTGTATGTTACTTCCAAATTCAACATGATGAAAGTAATTGCTGTTCTGTATCAAACAATCTTCGCAATAAAATGTTATATTTAAAAAAACAACAACCTTGGAGGTCGCAAAATATGCATTAATTCTTTTGGGGGGGGGGTGTTGTATGTGATTATATTTTAATCCAGTGTGTTGCAAGTGACATTTCTAAATGAAGCATGTGCTGAGGGATAGTTCACATTTCTTTCTGTCCTGCCAACTGCAGCTAAGTAAATTTTCTCCCAAACATAAATACCGTATGTGTGTTTCACTACTAATTTCCGGTGAAGCTGCAGTGTTAGTCTGTTGCATCAAAATCAACAGCAGTATTCTGTGTGGCACCTTTAAAGGCTAGCAACTTTTGTAATGGTGTAAACTTTAATGGGCTAGAGTGCATCTAATAAAGTAGGCTTTAGCCCATGAAAGCATTATGCCATTATAAAAAAAAGTTAAGTTGCCAAAACACTATGTACAGTGGTACCTTGGGTTACATATGCTTCAGGTTACATACGCTTCAGGTTACGGACTCCGTTAACCCAAAAATAGTGCTTCAGGTTAAGAACTTTGCTTCAGGATGAGAACAGAAATCGTGCTCCGGTGGCACAGCGGCAGCTGGAGGCCCCATTAGCTAAAGTGGTGCTTCAGATTAAGAACAGTTTCAGGTTAAGTACGGACCTCCGGAACGAATTAAGTACTTAACCTGAGGTACCACTGTATTAAGTAGTGGGTTGACAAAACAGACGAGACAGGGATTTCTCCAAGTGGTTCTTTATAGTAAACTGGAACTGAACTGAACTAAACAGCTCAGCTTAGTTCTTAAATGGGAGGAATTGCTCTTGGTCATGTCTCTCTCTTACCACTGGGAGGCACACTTATAAGGACAAGCAACCCTGGAAGAATATCGGGCTTCTTTTAAATTCTCTCACACGCCGACACTTCCTTGTAAAAACTGGCCACGGACACTCATAACCCCCCTGGAGGCAATTAACTTTGACACACACAATAGAGGAATAGCGGCCAAGTTTCCATGTGCTGAAGGATTTGAAAATAAGAACAGGCAGTCCTAGCAGCATTAATGTTTGATTTGTGGTGTCTTTTAATAATTTCTTCTTATTGGGAACTGCCTTGAATGGGATTTTTAAAAAGTATTTTAAATAAGCTGCCCATTTTGCAATGTGTGTAGATGTAGTTAGGGCAGAGGAGGAGGTGGATAGCAAGGCTTTTGAGATGCCTAAGGCCCTCAAATATAATTTTGCAATTGATGTGGAGACCGTGGAACTTGGCCCAGGGAGAGCCTGTTTCTCAAGGAAGTGGGCCGCCAATATCTTCCAAGTTTCAGGTGCTGAAAGAAGGTCTGAAGCCAGATTGAAATGGGGTAAAATTATTGGCTTTCTAAATTCTCCCCAAGCCATAACGCTCACCAGGCCTCCTCTGCACCAGACTAGAGTTTGTCCTTGAAATGTGGCAATGCTTCTTGCTTTCCTCTTTAGTTTTTTGGGGGGCTGGCAGGGGATAGGCAGTTTGTAGCATACTGTTGCTCCACCCACTAATGCCTCTTGCACCACACCACAGACATGCGTCCCATGGAAAGTTGACCCTCAGACCGAAAACGTTTCCCTGCCTCTGTTCTAAAGTTTTGCCAACATTGCGTGGGTTTGCGTAGCTTGAGCTTTCGTTGCCTTGATTTGTGCGGGAGGCTCTTCGAGCCTGCATCAAGTTTTAAATGTTGTTCCACACCAACCTAATCTCCATGAGCAGTGTGAGATGCCAAGGGCACTTACCAGGGTCTGTGTTCCCTTGGGGGGCAATTAAGACACATTAGAGCAGTGTTTCCCAAACCTTGGGGCTCCAGCTGTTTTCGGACTACAACTCCCATAATCCCTAGCTAGCAGGACCAGTGGTCAGGGATGATGGGAAGTGTGGTCCGAAAACAGCTGGAGTCTCAAGGTTGGGAAACACTGCATTAGAGACTGTGGTGTCTTTATGAGATATGATTTATTTACACACATACACAACCTGCACCTAGACGGAGGGGATGCAGAGCGTTCGGTTGGGTTCAGATTCACCCATCTCCTGTCTCTGTCACAGTCTTTACCAACCATCCATTGTGTCGGCTGCCCTTCAATTCCTGTATGGAGTTCTGCCCACTTCCTTTTCCTTCCCAGCAGCACTTGCTGAAAACAGCAACTCCCTGTCTGCTTCCAACATCCCAACCTGGTCACCCTGGCGACCCCTCTTTCCCAAGCCCATTGCAGAGGACATTTCCCTCCACTGTTCACATCAAATACTGCCCAAATTTGGAGACCCAAAACTGGGATGCACATCTTATGGGGCATACGCTCTGGCAAGTCATGTGGCCCTCACTCTCTTCCCTGCGCCCCAAAACTTGGCCCTGAAGAAAGCTGTTTTTCAGGGGGTGAGCCCAGTGAGAGATTGTGGCACCCAAAATGGCCGGCACGATGTCCCGCTTTTTCCGGGACACTTGGCAGATATGACATCAGTAGCCCTTCCCCAAAAGCTACTCGGCCAGAGGGTCTTCTGCTTCGCCCATGGCTTACCATTATCCAACAAACCAGGCCATTCTCAGCTTTTTGTTTCTTCAGTGACCCAGTGAGCCATTGCCAGCCCGACCTCATGAGGGAGATTGCCACTATTATTTCCTAGCCTTTGTAAATTTATAAGTTTGTCCAATTTCTAACCCTTCACTGAATATAGTGGTTATGTAGTGGTCGGCCCTTCACAACTCATAACATCATGATGCCTGTTGCTTATCGGAGGAATGGAATAATTTCTGATATTATTTCATGTCTATTCCAGCTTCGCCCAACTTGCATACATGATTCTCTGCCTCCCCAGTTTTATTCTCACAATGGCCCTGTGAAGGTTAGGCTGAGAAGCACTGTCTGGCCGCAGGTCGCCCAGTGAACTGCATAGCTGAGGAAGGGGCAGATGCAAATGTGAGTTTGAAGCATCTGTTGTTGCAAGTTCTAATTCTGTGGCTCTCAAGACTGTCGATCCTTAGTCCATTTTTTTTCAAGCAACTGAAATAACTCTGCCTTTGCTTTTGGGGCATGTGGAGTGCTCAGATGCATAAACCAGGCACAGAGAGTGCATGTGTGTGGCTCCTGTGTGTGCAGCTTTGAAAAGCAGACCACCCAAAATTAAGCGTGGGGTGTCATCTCTGCACGTCTTCCAAAGCCACTTCTGGTTCTTGTTTGAAACCTCTCCAGTTTCAGCTCCTGCACCCTTCCAGGTTTCGTAATGAGGGCTAGCGTGAGCTGCTAAATAACAGCTGACAGCCTGCCGTGGCACTCAGGAAACATAAAAGCTCGAAAAAGACCCAGGTGTGTAGTGGAAGCTTTGCATCAGAATTGCCAGCAGATGCCAGCATGTCTCTTGCTGGCAATTTAAAAAAAACAACCACAAAAAGCATGCAAGTAAACAACATTTGGCCATCATTATTCTTGTTTAGTTTCTGGTACCTGATGACAAATGTGGGAACCCAGCCTTGGAAACTGAGCCGTAAAAGTTAGTAGCGCCCCCCCCCCCCAAATCCTGCCAACTTGCCCACTGTCTTACTCATTGGTGGTTCAAAAGCAGATTGAAGAGCAGGGGCTGCGAAGGAATGGCACAACACTCCCCCCATTTTAAGGAAGCTTCTCTGCATGGTCACTTAGGGGGTGAGGTTGATTCTTGCTTGCCAGAGCTAACCAAGCAAGTGTTGTTTACAAACCCATACAGCTTGGAAAGTGAACAGTTATTGTTAATGCAGCTCCCCACCCACCCCATCCCAGCAGCAACTTAGATTTTCCAAATCCAAGGAGTGGTTTGACCTCTGTCTCCTTCATGGACCACCCCCCTCTCGCAGGGAGACATCTACCTCCTCCCTGTCCCCTCCCTGCTCATTTTTTTAATCAGCCAAGGGTGGCAACGGTCCAGAGTGCAAGCGATCCAACACCGATTCTCTCCTCACCCCCCACCCCCAAACTGCTTTTAGTTAAGGAAGAATGTACCCTGTGCTAAACGCACAAAAGGGAACATACTACTAGAGTTTTCATCCTCAGAAGAACCCTGTGAGGTAGATTAGACGTTTTTCTCTCAGGCAAAGAGATGGGCTTGCCCTGCAGCTCATGTAGAAACTGCTCTTACCAAACAGGAGCTGCTAGGCACTGTGGAACAGTGCACTGGAGTGATTTTGCACATGGGGATTTGTTTTAAATAGCATTTCCTCTCCAATCTCTCATCTTTTTTTAACATCCATGATTGATGTGGAAGTCTGAAAGTTTGACTCCTATAGATGTGTATGTGCGTATGCATGAGAACTTCCTTCCTTTCTATAAACGGTCCCCTTTTGTTGCTGCAGCAGGGTGGTGAGGACTCTCCTACTGTCGTCCCGGTTCCTGACCCTGACAGACTCCCCTGAGCTGCTTGAATGGATGTGGAAAAGTGGCTCACGCAGAGTTCTGTGAAACCCGACAAGCCCAACAGCTTCTCCTCTTGTTTCCCTCTCTGCTCTGTGAGGAAGGAAAAACCCAGCAGGCTGTTAGCAAGGCAGCTTGATGCATTCGGTATCTGGAACTGAAGCAACCGAGTGCAAAGAGCTTTTGAGACAGAATTTGAAATTAACAACGTTTGGTGAATAGTTGAGCTTCTGTATCGGCTACCGTATTCAGCGAACCTAATGACAGGCCTCCATCCGTTCTGGTCTAGCAGGACGCAATGGTACTTACAGCTTCACACACACACTCCCCAATTTTCCATTTGCTCAGGGAAGCATCTGAGCGTGAGCTCCATTGTTTTCTTGGCCTCCTGTAGCTTTCTCCAATGCCTACTCCTTAAAAAAAAAAGGAAGAAAAGCGTTCAGTTACTGGTTGGGCCTGGTTAGCCTTCTGAGTTGGCAAAGTAATTTTGTCTACGTTGTCAAAACACAAGTGCCAGATAGGAGTGAATTGAGGTGTCTTATCTGGTGTTGCAGCATTTTACAAGTACACCGCATCCTTTGCACAAAGTCACAAGCGTAATTTCTTGCACTGTGGACCCATGCCTGACCAAAGAAACAAATAAAAATAAAATTTGCAATGTTGCCTCCAGAGGTCAGTTTCTGCTAGAAAAAAAAGGTAAAAGACCCCTTGGTGGTTTAGGTCCAATCAATGGCGACTATGGGGTTGTGGCACTCATCAGAGCACACAGAAACATCGTTTACCTTCCCGCCGCAGCAGTACCTATTTATCTACTTGCACTAGTGTGCTTTCGAACTGCTAGGTTGGCAGGAGCAGGGACCGAACAACGGGAGCTCATCCCATTGTGGGGATTCAAACTGCCAACCTTCTGATCGGCAAGCCCAAGAGGCTCAGTGGTTTAGAGCACAGTGCCACCTGCATACTTTGGGCAGATATGTCACAGTTGGGGGTCAGCAGTGACTGGAAGTTGCCATGGGCTGGAGCCTAGATGGCGAGGAAATCCTACCCAATCTCCAAGCGTCACCAGCCCTATTTAGGTCTTCAAACGATACATCTGGTATTCTTACACATGGAATAAGGAAGTGTCTCTGCCCGGATCTTCCCACATTAAGTGGAAACCTGAAGAGAACTTACAATGGTACTTCTGGTTACGTACTTAATTCGTTCTGGAGGTCCGTTCTTAACCTGAAACTGTTCTTAACCTGAAGCACCACTTTAGCTAATGGGGCCTCCTGCTGCCGCTGCACCGCTGCTGCACGATTTCTGTTCTCATCCTGAAGCAAAGTTCTTAACCCGAGGTAATATTTCTGGGGTAGCGGAGTCTGTAACCTGAAGTGTATGTAACCCGAGGTACCACTGTACATTATCCCCAAAGGCCAACAACAACAAATACTGTAGGTCTTTAATCAAAAACCCCTTGCATTGGCAGGGATTTGCCATAGAGGTTCCCTTTTGAATAATATAGTACAAGGGTATACTAGGCAGATCTGGTTAAAAAAAGGTGCTTTTTAAAATCAGTAGTGAAAAAAGTGAAGTAATCTACATTGCCATCTAAGGAAGGTAAGACTATTAAGTAAGTTCAGCATCTAAAATTACTTAACCATGCCTGAATGTGACCTGGTATATGTGTGAATCACTCTTGCTTAAACAAACAAAAATAAAGTGGATTTGCTCAAGTGAATCTCCTCAGGTCCATTTCAAAGATTTTGTCAATAGCATCATGGTTGCCCCAAATTGCCCATCTCACCTGCAGCTTCCTGTGGCTGTAAAAACATTCCCTCACGGTTCTGCCTGGTCACACCAGAACTTCCAATGCCAGTTTTGCAGCTTGGTGGGAAAACTTCTGGTGTGATTTGCTTTTAAAGAGAAGATTTGAAGGTTGTCCTTGATCCCTGCGGACCTCAGCTATGCAGCAGGGCTTTTGCGTTTTTAGCTAGCAACACCACCACTGATGTTTAATGGGACCCAGTGGATTTTAATGCAATGAAGCTAAAACAGTGGTTCGCAGATCATTCCATATGTGAGAGCTTCTACAGAGTCGAGCTTTAGTGCATTACTGTGGCTGACTTAACAATGTGATGGCATTGTTGCTGGAATTAATATCACATGAATAAACTGCCTTGCAAATCTGATAGTTGTGTAAGGGCTTAGAAATTTAATTTGGGCCAGATACACCCTCGGGGACTTGGATCCTAAAATACTGTTAACTTAAAGATGCTTGTGGAAGGAAAGTTTTCCATCTCCTCCTCGCCCTTGCATCTGCCTGCAGAGGAGAGTCTGGAGCCTTTTGGGATGGAGTTGAATGAGCGTAGAAACAAGCTATGGTTTTCCCAGTAGTGATGTATGGCAGTGAGAGCTGGACCATAAAGAAGGCTGATCGCCAAAGAATTGATGCTTTTGAATTATGGTGCTGGAGGAGACTCTTGAGAGTCCAATGGACTGCAAGAAGATCAAACCTCTCCATTCTTAAGGAAATCAGCCCTGAGTGCTCACTGGAAGATCCTGAAGCTGAGACTCCAATACTTTGGCCACCTCATGAGAAGAGAAGACTCCCTGGAAAAGACCCTGATGTTGGGAAAGATGGAGGGCACAAGGAGAAGGGGACGACGGAGGACAAGATCGCTGGATAGTGTTCTCGAAGCTACCAGCATGAGTTTGACCAAACTGCAGGAGGCAGTGGAAGACAGGAGTGCCTGGCATGCTCTGGTCCATGGGGTCATGAAGAGTCGGACACAACTAAACAACTAAACAACAACACAAACAACAACAGAAACAAGCCAGTACAAAAAGCAACAATTTCATTTGTTGCTACACCCATCCATGCCATACGGCCCTCGGAGGATTGCTCAGAATGGAATGTGGCCCTGATTCCTGTATTAAAGGCTGAAACTCGACAGCCCTCTTTTGGAGATTATCTTTCTCCAGTCTAGACGGCCTGCTGCACCTCTGATTCTCTCTGTGAAAACATCCCAAAGTCTGCCTTAACTCTGGAGGCTTCCTGTCCTTCTTAACCTCTTTTCCTCTACGCAGCTTTCTCCACTGCCAGGAAACAAAACGCTGCACTCGAAGCCTCCCAACTGTCAGGCTGCGGGCGATCTGCATTTCGACAGCTGCCGTGATTCCTTTGGCGTGGCTTGCAGAATGGGCTGGCATTTCCCAGCCCCTGTTCAGGTCCTGGAGTAGGTTCGGCAGAGGAGAAGCCGAGCGAGCAGCTCACACAGGTGCTTGCATGTGTGGCTCACAGGTGTGCATCTCGAGCATCGCACGGTTTGTTCCTGGGGCAGAATATGCTTGGCTGCTTCTGCCAGGCCTGTGGGTGGGCACTTAGGCAGCCGAGGCAGTTTTGAGGAGCTGAAGCAAAGAAAGGAAGGGAAATTGCAGACTCTGACATCTGCTGCTCCCTGCTAGGCTCTTCTTCTGTATTTTGGATACAAGAGCAAACAAAGGGGGGGGGTCCAGAACCGTTTCGCTCTGCTTTGCTGCATTTAGTTCCTCTTTGCAATCCAGGCCATTGTGGTGCATCTTTACTTTTTTTCCCTGCACACCAGGAAATCCTGCTTTTCCTTAGAGTTATATAATCTGCAACTGTCATTGATGGTGTTTTGTCAAAAAAAAAAAAGTTTGCTGAGGAAATAAAGGGAGTGTCCTACAAGAGCTGTCATTCACGTACTGTTGCAAAACCGGCCTGAGCAAAGCTTCCTTAAGGAGACGGGGCATTTGATAACAGAATCGACGCAAGGAACCCGTCGCAATGGAAAGGTGGGAGTTCCTCTGGAGTTGAATGCAAGCACAAAGAAATGGTTCAGGGCAGTTCTTAGAGTGCACTGTGCTGTATCTGGTGCTGCCTTTATTTATTTTGCTTCTTCTAATTATAGCCTTCCTTTCTCCAAGTGGCTCAGGGTGATTTATGTACAGTCCCCCCCCCACACCTTTCGTTCTCACAACCAGTGAAGGGGGTGGGGGAAGGATTGGAACCCAGGACTCCTAGTCGGACACTCTGATGGGGTGGCGGCAGCTAATGGTTAACCACCTGGGTATGTGTGGCTGGCCAACACACACACACACACACACACACACACACGGCCTCTCTCTCTCTCCACCTGATATTAGCTGAGGGTGTATGTGTGTTATTTTTCCTCCCTGATAATCAGGCGATTGATCTGATGACTGGGGAAGGGATACTTCACATCCTCATCAGGGCACTGGGCTGGGCAGAGAAGTTCAAACCTCTTCACCTACCCCAGGGCAGTGTCATCCTTTGTCGTTCCATTTGTCCCTTCTGCCCAAATTTGTGTGGGCCTGCTGGAGGGCATGGGGTGTGGAGAGCATCCCTGGGTCTGAGCTAGCCAACCCTGCTCTAGACTATAATATAGTGTCAGTTGTCCGATTTTATCGGTAATTTTAAAGTACATGTTATGTAAAGTGCTTTGAGGTGTTGATAACTGAGCTGTATGTGAATCCTGTTTGATGGTAATGACGATGACAATTATATAAGAGACAGTGATTTGCAGGTACCAGGAACTATCCCTAGTAGATAGGAGCAGTTAGAACTATGGGATCTCCCTCCTGAAGATAGTCCAGAAAGTCCAGAAATGTCTCTGGGATAGAGGAGTTTTTAAGGTGCTTTGAACCAAGAAGGTGGTTCCGTGGAAATATTTCAATATTTACATTCAGGGCATATTTATTTATTTATTTATTTATTTATTTATTTGCAACAACCATTCTAAGACCATGTTTAATTTAGGTGTTTTTCATATCCACTGCTTTCTTTGATCCCTTTTCCCTGGTGCTTGTACAACACCAGATCAAAGAGAAACAGAGGCCTTTTTTGTGTCTTGGTACTTCTGCCCCTTTTTCCTTTTCTGTGTGTTTCTGGTAAAAATAAATAAATAAAGCACTTTTTTTAAAAAAGAAGCATATAAAGCTAAGGAAGAGATTGCAAAGCATTTACTTCCTTCTCCCTTCCTACTCTGATTTGGAAGGAACTGAAGGGTTTACACTGACTGGAAAGAATTGTGGATTGTAGTTACAGCCAATTCACATCAAAGTTGTCTTTGTTGTTACATATTACAGAGGATGAAGGAGACTTTCTGGTGAAACCTTAACAGACTAAACCATTTTTTTGTGGCTTAAAGTTTCATCATGGATAAAAATCCACATTGTCACATGCATAAACTGATTCCTTTAGTTGGCAGAGATCTATGGGTACAGACAGCAGCCTCTATGAAGTTGCCTCATTCAGAGTCAGAGACCATTTGTCTCCTGGCGCAACTGTTTAGAGCAGGGAGGGGGAACCAGTGGCCCTCCAATTGTGGCTGGACTTCAGCTCCTCCCACCATGGCCAATGGCCGGGGTGGCAGCAACAGGTTCCTGTTTGCTCTGGATGGGTGGAGGACAGGGAAAAGAGGAATGTTTATGCCTGGTGCCTAAAATATATATAATGAAGGTGCCAGGCAAGCCTTCCTGGGGAGAGCATTCCTCAAATAAGGAGCCACTGCAGAAAAGGCCCGTTCTTATGTTGCTGCCCTCCGGACCTCTTGCGAAGAACACACACAAAGAAGGGCCTCTCATGATGACCGCAGGGTCCGTG